TAGTTTCACATTCTCACAGTAAACTCATGATTCACCATAGAAGCTAGTTTTACATTCTCACAGTAAACTCTTGATTCACCATAGAAGCTAGTTTCACATTCTCACTGTAAACTCATGATTCACCATAGAAGCTAGTTTCACATTCTCACAGTAAACTCATGATTCACCATAGAAGCTAGTTTTACACGCACACGATTAGCTCTTGATTATTCGTGGGCTGGATTATTAGGCTTGCGAATCGACCGTGCCAATTGTCGCCATTCACGCACGCGCTTGTAACCGTAAACACGTTGGCAATTCAAACCGATTGTTTACAACCACAGACACGCGCCTCCCAATGTCCTACACCTCCGATTAGCATGGTGGCTACGTACGGTGCAAAATAAGTTCAGCGTACACACATATACTCGAGACACACCATTACACGTCTTCACCCACGATCTGCACAGCCGAGCAAAGATATTCAAGTTTAAAAACCCAATTCACAAGTTCTGCACTATCCGTGCATTTTTTTAAATTAATAACTTAGTCACCATCCTCCCCCGTTTAACCCAGATTATCAAGCTGGCTGTATAGGTAAAGTCAATATTCTGCAATTAATACATTACGTAAGTTTACAAAGAGACAGTTAATTGTGTGACAACATCAATGCATTGCCTACTATTTCATTATTTGGCAGTTTCTAAGACTAACGTAAATTTACATAAAGATTAATAAACTTAAATTTTATAGAGCACTATAGCTTATGTAATAAATGAACACATAAAAAAAACACATTGTAAGTAACTGGGGCTCATTCGCTATTCACAAAAGCTCTATGAATAGTTTGATGATTACGATGATGATGATGACGACGTACAGCCATTTTGTACAATCCACTGCTGGATAAGGGCCTCTCCAATGTTGTGCCGGTCACGGGGGATGTGTGACCATACTTGACCAGGCGTCCCACAGGCAGTTCAGACAAGAGCCGTGGCTGACAGCCGAACGCTCCAAGCGGTCGCCGTGCACGGACCGCCGCTGCCCCATCATCGCTCCACGCGCAGCGTTTACAGGGAAATCATCCGGGAGGCAATAACCGCCGCTACTTATCGTTTCTACAATATCGAATGCGCTGCAAGTGTGTACATTTCCGAAATTGTCAATCGGAACTTGAGCGTGTGGGAGGGATGTTTGTTGCCAACGGTTACAAGGCCGGAGGCTAAATAAAAACGTGTGTTTCAAAGGAAACATTTGACCTCTGTTCAAGCAAATTTAGTTTGTTCCTGTGAACACCTCATTTCCGAGCCGGCTTTCTTAAGACAACATTCGTGGTCACTTGCCCACAGGGATCCAATTAAAAACTTTGAATTCAGAAATAAAGAAAACACAGTAACGAAAAAAAAACTACATTTATTTATCCTCTGCTCAAACACCCACCCCCTAAAAAGGGTCGGTAATTTTAATATTTAATGCAAATTTTTTTTTAATCTATTACCGTATAAACTCGCCGATTGAATGAAACCTTTCCACTGATAACCGCCATAATAAAATGTTTTCCGAAATGCTGAACAGTCTCCCCCCTAAGATGACCAACGTTACGCGTGCGGCTAGCGCGGCTAGCGCGTGCCGGCAAGAATCCGCGTGTGTCGTCTCGTGTCAGAATACGGCAGAGCAGGCGAAGACAGCCGGCAGATTCCCCCCCCCCCGGGCACCTGGCGAGCATTTTGTCTCGATCCGCCGGCAGGTAATTGAATGTTTTGGGGAATATTTTGCGCGATTTATGTGGCAGTCGTCACCGCTGCTCTCGTGCCACCGCCGCCGCCGCCGCCGCCGCGTGCGTTATTTACGCCGGCTCGCAATGAGCGATAGTGGCACGCACCGTAAAGCAGGATACACAAAAGTGATGGACTGTTACACGACGCCTGTCCGATCCTTAACGCGCGTCCCAGGCCAACGCCGCGCATGATGCCGGATAGCAAAGCGGCTCTGCCCCGGAGAGAGAGAGAGAGACCGATGGGAGCGTATACTTGACGCGCGGGGAACACGTTTGCCCATTCGTTCGTTTGCGCATCGCACCTTGTTAAACCAGGTGAGAGTGCGACGACTGGATTCATCAGTCTCGTTGCAAGTGAGAGTGAGATTTCAATTGCGATGTCGCAGCCGCTGACGCTTTTTATTAATGATAATGACGTTTATATTCTTGGTTCTTTCGGAAAAGTCACGTAGAAGGGAAACAATAAAATAATAAAAATATAAAACAATAAAATTGTATTGTTTCCCTTCTTCGTGACTTTACCGAAAGAACCAAGAATATGGATCCCTGCAGTCACGAAAGCTTTAAATCAAAATATAATGACGTTTATTGACCCGAGGATACATTCAATGAGTGTCGAGAATTTTTCAGAAGATTCCTGCATTTCCAACCTCACGAGAAATTTGCATTTCGAAGGTTTCCAAGGTATTGAGGGCGAGGAAACATCAACGAAAGCACCACACAGACAGCTTCCAAAAATCCATCTTCTGGCCACCCCATAGCTCTGCTTCTCTTTCATAATCGAGAATTTTTTTTGCAGGATGCAACAGGACAAATTCAATATCAAATGAGAACTTTTTAAAGTCTGAAAGTGAATCGGCTCACATACCCAAAAATTGTGAAACTAAGTGATCTCTCGAGTTAGTTAACCACTTGGATTTTCACTTTTCATTTATTAAATGTCAAAAGTCAACAAACCACTTCCACTGTACTACGTCTTCCGATGGTCGTTCGTGATTCAAATGAAAACACATTTTTTGGTCAACATTAATTTTTTTCTGCAGGAGTAGAAAGCGTAGAAGCTTGCACATGTTATAAACCTGCACAAACAGATGACTACAGCAGCTCTATAAACATTTAAAATCTTTCATTTGGCCCAGGGAAACTGGAAACACAGCAACCTTATTTATTAAATGATGACATCACAGGTTTGTAACTTTCTGACCCGCCCCTACTGGATATCTGTGAAAAAGAGCTTCACAGCTCATCGGATTCCTCCTCCAGAAAAAATATAGATTGCGATTCTGGGTCGCTGCTGCTGCTGCTGTCACTTCCCACACCGTGGCGGGCAGCAACTCGTGGGGGCTGTGCCAGGAATTGAAATTTCTCCTCGTCGCGCACTGACTGTGGTCCAGCAGGCGAGCGCTCTCACCACGGGGCTACCATGCGAGTGTGAACGCACATCCTGAGCATAGGCCCAAAGAAGTAGGCCCAAAATGCCAAAGCCATCAACCACGAGGTGGAACGGACACAATTATTGAACCGAGCAAGGTAAAAATATGGGAGGGAATCCCAGAGTCGTGCAGTTTGGAAGTGCATTTGGTAACGGTGCAACAACACCCAATTTTATTCTACTCTTTCATATGGTAATATGTTCAGGAGCCGAATACCAATGTCTAGGTGTGCTGGCCGTGACGCGAGGGAGTGCATGTAGTTTTGCCTCCCTCCGTCGTCGAAGGCTCGTAGACAACAGTGGTTTACCATGTGGCCCACAGGGCAGCTTTGCGTGGCCACAATGGCCCTACTGCGGCTTTGCAGCTTTAATCTCCCACTTTAACGTAGGGGACGTGAGCACGACGACCGTGGTCCATTCGCAGGGAAAGCATTGCGACGCGGTGGCCACCGTCGCCACCCAAACCGTCACCCCCCCCCCCTCTTCCCCTGACCCGCCCCCGAAACGCACGCGAGGCGCGCGAGCGTGTGTGTGTGTGTGCGTACGCGTGTGTGCGCGCGTGTGTGCGTATCTTGACCACGTAGTTCGTGAAGCCTTCAATAGCTGTACCGGGGGAATCTCCATTTGGTACAGATATAATGGGAGGCTGATCGATGCCCGGGTGTGGTCAAGGGATGGCTCCCTATTGCTCAACCACGTTATGTATGCAGATTATTTGTTAATAGCTGCTCATTCAGAGGAGGAGTTGGAGACGCTGCTGCTGAGACTGGAGTGTGCCACTAAGAGATGGGGCCTTACCATCAGCCCCACCAAAACTAAGCAGCTGCCTAGGTATTTTGTACCATCGGACACTCCACCCCCACAACTCCCAATCGGTGATGGGGCAGTTGTGGAGAGAGTGGAGAGTTTCCCATACCTGGGCAGTGTGCTTATGACCGGCTCCAGTTTAACAGCAGAGGTCTCACTCCGAATCAGTCAAGCGGAAATATCTTTTCATCGGTTGCGTAACGCTGTGTGGAAGCTACCTGGTCTGTCGCTCCGCACTAAGCTTCAGGTCTTCTCGGCCATGGTCATTCCCTCCCTTCTCTATGCTTGCGAAACGTGGAACACCCTAATGGAACATCTTCGCCGGTTAGAAACATTAGGTTAGCCTGCCTACGATCCATCCTGGGTTTAACCAGGCTGGATTGTGTGAGGAGCTCACAAATCTTTGAAAGATCTGGGCAAGGTCCCATCGGTGAGCTCCTCCGGCAGGCAAGGCTGCGTTGACTGGGTCATGTAGCCCGCATGCCCAGACACCGCATGACGAAACAGCTTTTGTTCGGCCGGATGGAGGGGGCTAAACGGGCGCGGCACAGGCTAGAGAAGAGATGGAGTGATGTGGTACAGGAGGACGTGGAGCTGAGTGGACTTGCCGATGAGTGATACCAGCGGTGTCAAGATCGACCTCTGTGGAGGAGGCTCGTGAAGGACGTTACTGGGCAGTTGGAGGCAGTTGCCCTCCAACAACAACGGAGGGCGGAGGAGCGACGCTCACAACAACGAGCGGAGCGCCGGGTGGCTAAAGCACAGCAGGTTGGCACAGTAGGGGGCACAGGTGGTGCATCAGCCAGTCATCTCAGTCATCTTAGTCAGTCGACCCGTGGCACTTGGGTCTGCCCCGTGACCTCCTGCCAGCGGGCGTTCGACATTTCACGTGGCCTCAAGGTGCACATGGCCTGGCACAAGCGTCGTGGTGACATCACCACCACTTAGTGGCGAATGGCGGTTGTTGTTGTGCGTGCGTGCGTGTGGGGCGCCCTGCCGACTCACCTGCTGTATCATGACATTCTGCTGCTGCTGGAGGAGCGCTTGCAGCTGCTGCGGAGACAGCACCTGCTGCTGGAGCAGCTGCTGCATCTGCTGTGGGGTGATCACTTGCGGCGTCATCATGGCCATTGACACGGGCACCTGCGGAGGAGACACAAGCGGGTTTTGGTTCCCGTCAGTGGGGTTGGTGGAACACGCGCGCGAATGGCGTGCATGGTTCAGGCAGGTGTCATGCCATGGTACTCGTGGTGGTCAACCTCTTGGTTTTGAGTCACCCTTGCAATAGAGCTTTTTAGCGCAATGAATTTTACTCGGGAAATGCACTCTTGAGCTTCAGATTCTGTTTCGATGAGTGAATTGCATGCACGTACAGCGAGGGAAAAAAAAGTATTTGATCCTCTGCTGATTTTGTACGTTTGCCCACTGACAAAGAATGATCAGTCTATAATTTTAATGGTAGGTTTATTTGAACAGTGAGAGACAGAATAACAACAACAAAATCCAGAAAAAAGCATGTCAAAAATGTGATAAATTGATTTGCATTTCAATGCGGGATATAAGTATTTGACCCCCTCTCAATCAGAAAGATTTCTGGCTCCCAGGTGTCTTTTATACAGGTAACGAGCTGAGATTAGGAGCACACTCTTAAAGGGAGTGCTCCTAATCTCAGCTTGTTACCTGTATAAAAGACACCTGTCCACAAACGCAATCAATCAATCAGATTCCAAACTCTCCACCATGGCCAAGACCAAAGAGCTCTCCAAGGATGTCAGGGACAAGATTGTAGACCTACACAAGGCTGGAATGGGCTACAAGACCATTGCCAAGCAGCTTGGTGAGAAGGTGACAACAGTTGGTACGATTATTCGCAAATGGAAGAAACACAAAAGAACTGTCAATCTCCCTCGGCCTGGGGCTCCATGCAAGATCTCACCTCGTGGAGTGTCAATGACCATGAGAACGGTGAGGAATCAGCCCAGAACTACACGGGAGGATCTTGTCAATGATCTCAAGGCAGCTGGGACCATAGTCACCAAGAAAACAATTGGTAACACACTACGCCGTGAAGGACTGAATTCCTGCAGCGCCCGCAAGGTCCCCCTGCTCAAGAAAGCACATATACATGCCCGTCTGAAGTTTGCCAATGAACATCTGAATGATTCAGAGGACAACTGGGTGAAAGTGTTGTGGTCAGATGAGACCAAAATGAAGCTCTTTGGCATCAACTCAACTCGCCGTGTTTGGAGGAGGATGAATGCTGCCTATGACCCCAAGAACACCATCCACACCGTCAAACATGGAGGTGGAAACATTGCTTTGGGGTGTTTTTCTGCTAAGGGGTCAGGACAACTTCACCTCATCAAAGGGACGATGGACGGGGCCATGTACCATCAAATCTTGGGTGAGAACCTCCTTCCCTCAGCCAGGGCATTGAAAATGGGTCGTGGATGGGTATTCCAGCATGACAATGACCCAAAACACACGGCCAAGGTAACAAAGGAGTGGCTCAAGAAGAAGCACATTAAGGTCCTGGAGTGGCCTGGCCAGTCTCCAGACCTTAATCCCATAGAAAATCTGTGGAGGGAGCTGAAGGTTCGAGTTGCCAAATGTCAGCCCCGAAACCTTAATGACTTGGAGAAGATCTGCAGAGCGTGGGACAAAATCCCTCCTGAGATGTGTGCAAACCTGGTGGCCAACTACAAGAAACGTCTGACCTCTGTGATTGCCAACAAGGGTTTTGCCACCAAGTACTAAGTCATGTTTTGCAGAGGGGTCAAATACTTATTTCCCTCATTAAAATGCAATTTAATTTATAACATTTTTGACATGCGTTTTTCTGGATTTTTGTTGTTGTTATTCAGTTTCTCACTGTTCAAATAAACCTACCATTAAAATTATAGACTGATCATTTCTTTGTCACTGGGCAAACGTACAAAATCAGCAGGGGATCAAATGCTTTTTTCCCTCACTGTATGTATGTTGAACTTCTTTCACACCGCACGTAGCAGACCGTGCTAATCGGAGGTGTGGGGGGAAGAACAACAAACTAAAAACAAAAGGCAGTTCTATAGATCTATATTTAAATGTGGCATAGCTCCAGTGGCTCAATAATATCAGAAGGAAGAGCATTCCAGACAAACAGAAGCGCACGTGAAAGTGCGCGATGTGGTGACCGTCTTGGTCTAGTACTCTTAAACATTTCCACCTGCATCTGAGCCGGTGGAAATGTAGCAGAGTACTCGACTTACGTTCGAAATGATTGAGAGTTCAAAAACTCGACGCAAGATTGACTTTCGGCAATCATCCATCCAGATCCCCGCACTATCCCTGCACCCATCGGAGTGGTCGGGGTCACTTGAACTTTTTTTTTATTTTATTCACCCGGGAAATCATTCCCTGAATTTGCAATGTTTATCCAATTCCCCGTTGAGTTGTTTTGCCTGCTGGAAGAAACCACGGCGCCCAAAAAAAACATCCGAAGAACAGCGGAGAGCCCTCAAATTCAGCACGGCTCGCTGCATACTGTGCGAAAGAAGTCCAACATACATAGGTACTTATGGACTGTACATGTCAATGCACAGCCTGAAACATGGTCTGCTGGAACTGTTTTTTATGAGAACACGTCTGTGTAATTACTAAAAAACACCTTTGCCCACGAGAGCTCATGTAGGCCTGAATTAATTTCATGTTGATACTTAAGTCCATAACAAGGGCTGGCCTAAGACCTATCTAATGCCGTGTTCATGCTCCTGCAAAGCTGCATTCATACCAGGTGGATGCCGTAATAATGCCTGCGTAAATCTGTGCCCACACTGGTGGTAAATCTGCATCCACACTCGCTTGTGTAAGCCGAACGCAATATTTCATTAAGCAGCTTTTGTACTTTGCGGAGAAATTATTTTCACGCACACATGCGTGGCACACAAAGATCCCCCATATAGCGTGGACGGACTGTTGAGGCAAGTGCTGTCAGTGAGAACGTATAAGGCCGGGACAGCTCACGAGGGGGTGGGTGGCCTGCACCACGCCTACCCGCCTTTGTCTCCCCAGTGGCGATGTTTACACATTGCACCAGGTATTAATTTGAGGCTGAGTCGACCTAGGGGAGACCCGGGACCGATTCAGATAGTCGTCATCGGTGTTGGCCGTGGGCGGGCATCGAACTCGGGTGGCCGGGTTCGTAGTGCAGCGCAGCGCGTGAACCGTTCCACTACCGCTCCCCACACACACGCGGGCACACGCGCACACACACACACACAAATAACACCTCTTCAGCTTAAGCCTACAGGGGAAAGTGCGGTGAGTGAGCACCTATTATTACTAGCACCAGCATCGCACAAGTGGGGACAGGCAGGCCGCAACTCCATAGCGCTGATGGTTAACGCACCAGGTACTCATTTAAGGGCGAGTTGACCTAGCACGGGTTCTGATACCGCATGCTACATCTGCTGCGTGCGGCCAGGCATCTAAGGCGGGTCACTGAGATCACAGAGCGGTGCACGGATGCCTCGCGCATCCCTTAATGTCGTGCACCGCGTGTACTTGACAGTGAACGGCGCTCGGTCGCCTGGTCCGAGCGGTGGCGTTTGCCCATCGATTTCATTTTCGCACGTAACGTAGAGTCGTTTGTTTACGTCGTATGCACGTGTGTATGTTAAACTTATTTTGCACCGTAGTTAGCCAACTGCGCTAATGGCATGCGTGGGGGAAGGACAACAAACTAAACAGTGTAAAGCAATTATTTTTCAATCTAGATATACAAGTGCGTAGCTGCAGTGGCTTACTAATAACGGAGCGTTCCAGACGGCCGCAGAAGCACATCTGAAAGCACACGATGCAGTGACCATTTTTGTTCGATGGTTATAAAAAAAACCCGTTAAGGACGTTGCTTTACTCGTGTCAGATACATCAAGGATGCTAAGATTAGGATTGGATGGCAGTCATCTGCTTTGTTGGCCATGAGGCACAGATGGAAATTCTACTTTACTATACGAGCCACTCTTGATTTCCCGCAAAGTGGTACTGATTGCATTGACCTCGGAGGGGTGATGGGTTAAGTTGACTCTGAACCACAATGTGAACTCAACTGCGGTGATGACGATGACGGCGATGATGTGATCACGATCATGATGATGAGTGTCGTCGATTCTGTACCCATGCTCAAATCCACGCTTGAGATCCCTCCTGTTCTCTCTCCCTCTCTCTGTAACTGACTGCCTCCTTCTCTCTGTAACTGACTGCCTCCTTCTCTCTGTAACTGACTGTCTCCTTCTCTCTGTGACTGACTGTCTCCTTCTCTCTGTAACTGACTGCCTCCTTCTCTCTGTGACTGACTGTCTCCCTCTCTCTGTAACTGACTGTCTCCCTCTCTCTGTAACTGACTGCCTCCTTCTCTCTGTAACTGACTGTCTCCTTCTCTCTGTGACTGACTGCCCCCTACTCTCTGTGACTGAATGTCTCCTTCTCTCTGTGACTGACTGTCTCCTTCTCTCTGTGACTGACTGCCTCCTTCTCTCTGTAACTGACTGCCCCCTTCTCTCTGTGACTGACTGTCTCCCTCTCTCTGTAACTGACTGTCTCCCTCTCTCTGTAACTGACTGCCTGCTTCTCTCTGTAACTGACTGCCCCCTTCTCTCTGTAACTGACTGCCTCCTTCTCTCTGTAACTGACTGTCTCCTTCTCTCTGTGACTGTCTCCTTCTCTCTGTAACTGACTGCCTCCCTCTCTCTGTGACTGACTGCCTCCTTCTCTCTGTAACTGACTGCCTCCTTCTCTCTGTAACTGACTGTCTCCTTCTCTCTGTAACTGACTGTCTCCTTCTCTCTGTAACTGACTGTCTCCTCTCTGTAACTGACTGCCTCCTTCTCTCTGTGACTGACTGCCTCCTTCTCTCTGTGACTGACTGCCTCCTCCTCTCTGTAACTGACTGTCTCCTTCTCTCTGTGACTGACTGCCTCCTTCTCTCTGTAACTGACTGCCTCCTCTCTGTAACTGACTGCCTCCTTCTCTCTGTGACTGACTGTCTCCTTCTCTCTGTGACTGACTGTCTCCTTCTCTCTAACTGACTGTCTCCTTCTCTCTGTGACTGACTGTCTCCTTCTCTCTGTAACTGATTGCCTCCCTCTCTCTGTGACTGACTG